GGGGGATGGGTGGGGTAGGTGTTGGGGGATGGGGTGGGGTAGGGGGATGGGGATGGGGTGGGGTAGGAGGGTGGGGTAGGGTAGGGGGATGGGGAATGGGTGGGGTAGGGGGATGGGGGATGGGGTGGGGGGATGGGTGGGATAGGGAGCGGGGTAGGTGTTGGGGGATGGGGATGGGGGTGGGGTAGGGGATGGGGGGATGGGATGGGGTGGGGTGGGGTGGGGTGGGGGGCACAGCCCTGGGAAGCCAGTTTTGCCCGAGTTCCACCAGGAGGACCCAGAGCCCCTTGACAAAAGAGAGAAGACCCCACCCTGAGAAACCTTTCCCTGTAACCTGAGGCGTTTGCAGAGAGCTTTCCAAAAACCGCAGGGAAGGAACGCAGGCCAGCTCAGCGGAACCGCGAGCGACCTGGCCAGGCCCAGCAGGACTCGCGACAGTCACCCCATGGAACGTTCAGACAACCGGACAAACTCAATCACCAACCAGGGCCAAAGAAGGCTGCTCTGGGCATGACTGGTCTCGGGGAGTCTCCTGTCGGACACTGGGGTCTTCCCACCAGGAAAGTGAGAGCAGGTCTGGGAGGAGGTGGGACATGGCCCAGGACAGGCCAGAGAGAACTTGGGTGAGTCGCCAGCTACAGGCTGACCCCAGACAGCCGCACTCAGAATGAACTGAGCTGAAACTCCGAAGACGCCGACCATTCCTGGGGGTTCTTCCCGGTGCGCCTGGGCAGCTGGCGAGCCTCGGCCTGGTTTACAGGGAAGAGAGTCGGGGTCCGATCAGTTATGGGAGGGACAGGGAGAGAGGCAGGCCCGGCTCCCGGGAACCCCACAGCCTCGGTGATCAGAGCCCCTATTGTTTTAATTCTCAAAAAACGGAAGTGGTGGCTCCCCATTGTCAGAGAAGAGCACGGCAGACCTCCCCGCCTGGTGGACAGTCTGGAAGAGGGTGGAGCTGCATTTTATAACTGGTCCAGCAAGGAGGGCCCTGACCCATTTTTGTGAAACCGAAGTCTGGTATGTGAAAATTCAACCTGGGAAAGTACAAATGCTCCTCCTAACCTGAGACCATACGTGCTGGAGGCGAAGACGTTCTAGGCGAGCTTAAAGAATTTGTTCTCTGATTCGCAGGACATTTGAAGTCTCACCGGTGACGCTGAAGGAAGCACCACTGACAACACAGCATTTTTCAAGCAACTGGGATCAGGGATGCAAAGGCCAGACCCATGGTCACCGCCGCCACCTTCCCCAACCCTGTCCTGGGGGCCACAGCCGGAGCCCAGACGCCCGGGGCCCTCGCCAGCACCCCACGGTGCTCCCCAGAACCCCCGAGGACCGTCAGCTCCATGGAAACTCTGGGAGCAGGCGCACGCCTCCGCTTGGCAACACGCGCGTGTGAAACCGTCTCCTGTCCACTCCTGTGCACATACAGCTATCACGCTGCCTGTCTCACCCATGGTCAAGTGCACCAGGGCCCCGGCAGTCAGTCCCAGCCTCAGGAACAGCCGGGACTCTCGGGGCATCAGGGGTCCAGGCCGCGTGTCTCACCCACCCTGCCATCTCCGCGCCAGCCCCCAGCCCCCTGGGCTCCCCTGCCACACACCCCCAGGCCCGAGATGGCTCAGGGCGCCGGCAGGGGTCCTCCCACCCTTCCCCAGGAGGCCACATCTCAGGGTGCAGCGCAGTGACACAGCCACCCCCTCTGGACTTCCCCAAGAGTTCCAGGATGGGCGGCACGGGCTGGCCCCGGCTTCCTGTACCAGGACGGGGCAGGGGCTGGGGGGACAGGAGCAACCAGCTTCAAGCTCTAGTGCTTCTGACCTCCCTTCAGGCCCAATGGCTCCCCTTTGCTGCTCTGTCTTCCCTCCAAAA